TAAGAAGATGAAAAAGATGTGTTATTCATAATAATATATTCTAGTAATTATTAGAAGATAAACAAGTTCTGATTATATTTTATAATATATTATACTTACTGTTAATAAACTGCTTAGTATAAGTACTATAAAAATGCTTATTATAAGAATAAGAAGTCATTACTAGAAATATATACAATATAATAAATAAATAACAGATAGAAGATGTTAAATGAGAGAAGAAATAGAAATCTTGAATAAAATAATGATATTCAATGATAATAATAATGAAGAAGATAATTGAAGAATGAGAAAAGTTAGTAAATAAGTGATATAATATAGTGAAAGTTTCTTTGTAAGAGTGTACACAGAATGCTAGCTGAATCAGAGATAGATTATATAATTATAAACACTAGTAGTATGCTAATCTGCATGAAGCTAGAATGTACATTATAATTATATAAGCATGACTGAATCTGATAAGAGAGAATATAATTTAAAAGAATGTACAACTACTGAATAATAATACAGTCACTTCTGAACTTGCTTACAAATGTAAAGAGGTCATAGCGGCTATTAATTAATTTAGTGTATAGTATATAAGAAGTCAGCGTATGCCTGTAATTGTACGCTGACTCAAGCAACCTTTGAATCACAGTATAGTATAAGTATATAATAATACTGACTAGAGACTGCACTGAAGCCTTCTTATAGAGAGAAGATAAAGAAATTATAAAACTCTGTGAACTCAACTCAGCAGTATTCTGAGCAGAACTCAGATATATTATAAGAGAAGAACTACAGATTGAACTTCTCTAAGCTACTGTTTTTAAAATCAAGCTCTTTTCAAGATTCTCTTCAAATGATCACACAGAGTCATACATTACTGTGTTAATTAAGAGAGAAGACAGTATTATAACAGTAATAAGAAGAATAGAAAAAGAACTAATCACTAATAAATTAATTAGTAGAAGAGATAATATCTTACTATAAGACACAGCTTCTATTATTACAGCTGTAAGAGAAGTGAAAGAAGAAGAAGAGAAAGAAGATGTAATAATAAGAGAAGTGCTTTTATAGTTTATTAATATTACTATCTCTATCTTTAATCTAACTTTCTTAATAGTTACAGAGACTGCAGCTGTATTATAAAGATATTTAATTACTAAAAAGTATCAGAATAAGTCTTTTATTATCTTTCAAGAATAAGACTTTTATACACTTACTATTATAAATGAGAGAGAGAGAAGAAAAATGTGTTATAAGAGAAGAAAATCTTTTCAAAAAAATTCTATTATTACTGTTAACTTTATCTCTAAAATACATTATTTTTACAGAGAATTTTATACATAGAACAGAATATAATGAGAGATCTATAAGTCACTTATTAACTATATTTTTCATATTTTAAATTAATATATAAGAAATTCACTTATCATATATTTAATTTAAACAGAGATAAGAAAAGAAAATTTACACAGTTAGCAGAGAAACTCATCTATTTCTTTATATTATATTTAGTATATATACTATTAAATCAGTTAATAACTATTACTATATAACAAAGATAATTTCTAATTTAATAATCTTAAAAGTATTAGAACTATACTCTTAAAGAGAAGAATATTATTATATTTCTAATTATACTAAGATTTTATTACAGTTTCACATAGCTTATTACTTTTATATGAATAATTTCATTTATTTCACAGACTATTTAAATCAGTTTTTAATTACTCTATAATATTATTTAGATATAATATAGAAAGATCTGATTAATAAATATAAGAACTCTGCTTTTATATAAGATTAACAGATTACTCTTTTATAGTAGTAAGATATCACTGAGATATCACTTCAGCTATTCTTACTTATAGAATAGAAGAAGAGTATTCACTTATTATCTATATAGAATAGCTAGATACTGATTTCTAATTAAAGAAGTCAGTGATTCATTTTCTTCTACTGAAATATATATAAGAGTTACTTAGACTGATTATGTGACCGTGTCTGAGACCAGAACCAGATTTTTTAATAGTCTTATTATCAATTTGACTGATCTCATTACACAGTTTTAACATTAGATAGTAGTCTCATACTGTCTCAGTGAGACTTACTGTCTACTCTTATCACATTTTTCAAATGAGATCATGATTTTCACTTCTCAATTTAAATTATTTTTATTACTTTAAATAACTTTAAATCTCATTTGAGTATTATCAAAAAGTGTTACTTTTTAAAAAATTAAAAATAGTCTAAAAAAACCTTAAAATGTCTAAAAATAGTAACTTTATGCCAAGAATGAGACTAAATGAGACCAAATGAAACCACTTTCTCATTTTTTTCAAGTCATGATTTCATTTTAAGATCTGATATATAGTCACTTTACCTGTTTTTTTGATAGCCAGTCCCAGCAGGATTCACGCCAAGAAATGTATGGGACCAGACCAAATGGGACCAAACATGAAATTCATGGTCCCGGCGGCCAGTCTAGAGTTACTACATTTCTCATACAATCTTCTTAGCATACTAAGTACTATATCTGTGATATCCTTGCAATAACCCTGTAGCCCACAAGCTCACTATTCAAGCAAGATAGTCAAGCCCATTCATACGGCTCCTCAAACAACTACCTACATGACACCGCCGACTAGCCACCGCTTCGGTTCCGCCACGTTACAGCTATCTACAAGAGCTTAATATAGTAGTGGGTCACGTGATCTAGGGAGATAGTTACTCCAGCGACAGTTTGTCTAGTAAAATCTGACTTCGTGCTTCATGATTTGAGGCAGTCACCACGAGTCGTGTGTTAGTCGACTCACACAAAGTACCGTGAAAACTGCTTGACTGAACACAGAGCCAATGAAGATATTTTCTTGAACTTTAAAGAACCCATCCCGTGCTCGTATGACAGGAGCGTGGTTGCAGGTGAAAGGAAACAGGAGGACGGACATGTTTCTGCTAGAGAGGGTTGGGCGGGATATAATACTTTTTTTCATTATTAGTGTTACATCAATGATATGTATGTCAAGCATGATCTTATCTTTCTTTCCTCTTCCCTTTTGCACCTATCAGATGGGCTCCATGCTCCTTTTGAATGAGGCTCTAGTTGCTGTGCAGTGCCATCCTACTTCGGAGAATTCACCCACACACATATTCAGACACATGGGTGATTATCAATAGATAGAGGATGCTACTCCGTGGAAGCGAGGGTGATGAAACAAAAGAATGTGAGAGTTGTGATTGATACAATTTAAGACCGGGAAAATAAATACTGGGCCACAGATGTATTCCGACCAATAGTGAACTCAATCAAAGACATTTGTTAATCGAAGAGAATGTCTTTATGACTACAAAGAAACTATCCAGCCACATATTGAACAGATCCTAGGCTGGACAAGTGATCTGTCTTTATGATTGCCGAGTCAATCTCTGGAAAATCGTCTCCATCTCCGAAGAATCCAAGGGAAATGGCAGCAGAAAAACAAAATTTATGAGGAATTCAAGTTCGCAATGGCTATCCCACCATGAGTTGACATCTTAAGCGCTGTCATTAGATGGGAAAGTAATTGTGGGTATCAGATCAGCTGAAGATGCTTATGTCTTGTGAGGAATATGATGAAATACTGCTTGATCTGCTCATCTTCAAGGTCATGCATGATCTTTGTGCCTTTTGCAATAACTGAGTGAGGATATCAGTGGGGATGGGACTCACTACTCCCAAATATTCCAAGTGTTTCTCCCTCTACTTCTTCTCTGTGTAAGGGTCAAGGTCCTGCAGAACTCGCTTCCCAGCTAACTTGAGCCTATCGGGCAGGTCACCTCCAGCCTGCAATCTGTACTCACACTCTTCCTTGATTATCTTTAGAGGCATTGTGAGGAATTCAGAATCAGGAACACAAAAGAGCCCAGAGAAAAGATAGATGCTATGGATAGAGAAAAGAAAAGAAACAGAAACAGAAGATCATGGAAAGATCATGAGTAACAGATATCTCCAGTAGAAGGTAATTCAGTACAAGGTAATTCAGTAGAAATACAGCAGTGGATGAGAGGAACAAAAGAGAAGATGGAAACTGTGAGGTGGACAAGATGTCTGTAACTGCCATCCTCACTGTTTTGCCCACTGAGTGGTTTCATCGCGTAGACTTGACAAAAATTGAGAAGACATATTGAAAGATGAGTTTGGGGTGACTGGTGGAGAGACTGAGGGGGGTGATTGCTGTAGGTGAGGATGGAATGGTGAGAAGGTGAGGCCTCAGGAGAGGCATGGCTGAGTCAGCAGGAGGAAAAGCAGCGCGGGCTTCGGCACTAATGCAGCATCAAGGAAGTCCCTAGGTACTGTATTTAAGGCTTACGATTGTGGAAGGAAAAGTTGGATTTCAAACAGAAGCGCAAAAGGAGTGTTAATTATTACTATGTAGGGCAGTGTAGATACCTATATAAGCGGGAGAAATTAATCAATTATCGACAAAAGACTAGCCAACCCAGCCCAACCCAGCCCGACCTAGCATGCGCTGGGATGAGCGACACATCTCCTATTGGTTTCCGGTCCTTGGGGTCATGATTAAAGAAATGAAGGTGAATTGAAACATATAGAATAGTCTTGTCTGGATGTGCGCGGATGTTTGTGCGTCTAGACAGAAGGGTGTCAGTCAGTAGCTCCTGTGGTCATGTTCCTCGAGTAGAATGGGCAGGCATATATATTAGGAACAAGATAGCACATAAGTTCTTTACGCCAGGTAGTTATGGTCCATGTCCTGTCTGTGCCAAACATGAGTGGGAAAAAACGCCGGTTCAGTTGCCTTCAGCTCTACAGAGTCTTAAAACGGGAGAAAACATTTTGTTCCGGAAGGATTGCAAACGACTGAAAATTTAGCCAGGCATGGATGGAGTGGAACTTCCAGGGGAAGCCGTCGATTATGGGTTTAGGGGAGGGAGAGGTCTGGGGTATAATAAATAACAGCCACGTTACACGCACAAGAGCGAGCCACCGTCACGTATTTGATATCGAGTGAATACGTTTAGTATTCAGGCTCAACCTCCTCTTCTAAAGAATCGCTGGCAACTTCCTCATAGTCCCGTTCCAACGCGGCAAGGTCCTCACGAGCCTCAGAGAATTCACCCTCTTCCATACCCTCGCCCACATACCAGTGGACAAATGCGCGCTTGGAATACATGAGGTCGAACTTGTGAGAGAGCGCAGACCAGGCTTCGGCAATGGCGGTTGTGTTGGACAACATGCAGCGTACAGTATATCAATCATATATTACTCCGCTCTTGTTTATTTTTTTTTTCTGGGGACCAATAAAAATTTTTTTTGTTGGGGGGGGGGTGGGGGGGGGGGGCGGCCTTACACAGCGCGGTTGACTTTAGCGAGGTCGCCATTAGGCACCATCTGGGGAGGCTGGTAGCAGATACCAATCTTGAAACCGGTAGGGCACCAGTCAACGAATTGGATTGTACTCTTCGTCTTCAATGTCGCCACGGCACTATGTACATCCTTGGGTACAACATCTCCACGGTACAGAAGACAAGTCGCCATATATTTGCCGTTGCGGGGGTCGCACTTGACCATCTGGTTATTAGGTTCAAAGCAAGACATGGTTACCTCCATGACGGAGTTGGACTCATGAGACGCCTTTGCAGCAGACACGACTGGGGCATACGCAACGAGTGGGAAGTGGATACGAGGATAGGGCACCAAGTTGGTCTGGAACTCGTTCAGATCGACGTTTAAGGAGCCATCGAATCGGAGAGATGCAGTAATTGAGGAAACGACTAGATATTCGGGTTTTATTAGTTGTCAAACAATTGAGAGGTTAGAAAACCATATATGATCCGATGGAAGGAAACCGACCTTGAGCCATGAGGCGGTTCAGGTTGTCATAGCTTGGTCTCTCGATACCCAAGTTCCGGCGGCAAATGTCGTAGATTGCCTCATTATCCACCATGAAACTGCAGTCTGAATGTTCCAGAGTCGTGTGCGTTGTGAGGATCGAGTTGTACGGTTCGACAACGGAAGTGGCGTTCTGGGGGGCAGGGTAGACGCAGAATTCCAGCTTTGTCTTCTTGCCGTAGTCCACGGACAGACGCTCCATAAGAAGTGCACCAAAGCCGGATCCCGTTCCGCCTCCAAAGGAATGGAAGACCAAAAAGCCCTGAAGACCGCCGCAGTTATCTGCCACACGGCGGACTTTGTCCAGAACCTGATCAATCATCTCCTTACCCACGGTATAATGGCCGCGAGCATAGTTGTTGGATGCATCCTCCTTTCCAGTGATCATCTGTTCTGGGTGGAAAAGCGCACGGTACGGACCGGTGCGGACTTCGTCGACGACATTTGGCTCAAGATCGCAGTAGATGGTTCGGGGAACATATTTTCCCTGGCCTAGATAGGGGGGGCGATATGTACATGTAAGTTTCCCGAAATCAAATCAAAAATCCATATGTATCCATCGGCACTTTCTTGGAAGAGGGCTGTCGAACCTGTTTCAGAAAAGAAAGTATTAAATCCTTGATCAGGGTCGGCAGCTTTTCTTTCTTCAGTCAGGTATCCATCGGGCTATCAAATGAGGACGAGTCAAATTAGTCTCACATCCCGAGTAGATGTCAGGGAACAAAAGTCCATCAAACTGCAACGAGCCAGGAAGAGGGGCATAAGTTTTACCTGAATGCCATGTTCCAGGCAATACAGCTATAAAAGCAACACAGTTGAAGACATTAGCATCGTTGGCGATTTATATTGGTCGTGTGAATTTGACCGCATAAAGATATAATAAAAAGTACGAGTGATATGGAGTGGTGAAGTCGTACTTCCCAACAGGAGTTTGCGATTTGGCAACCCGCCTGGCCGACTGTTTACAGCACGTTGATATCAGCAGCAAGGACTATAGCTAAATGAATAAATATACAGATAAAACTGTAGCAACAAGGACCGACGTACCGTTCAAACTAACTACCTCTCTCATGGTGGATGGCTGTGGTGGAGGATTCGGTATGTTGTGCTAAATGATGAAGATTGGGCGGAGAGATGTTGCCCAACGTAGAAATGGGGAGGGCGGTCACGAAGCTCCGATATCAACAAAACTTGGAGCTGCTGCACCTGAGTCAGAGTGGAGTTTTGTCTTTGTGAGAAAGAGATGTAAGATGCAGCGGGGAGATAGCTGAATAGGGGGCAATTACCTGAGGTGAGGGTAGACAACGGGAAGTAAATAATAAGGATGGGGGAACGGGGGGGATTGAGCTGGGAGCAGAAGATCTCGAGTCTTTCTGTTCTTTTCTGTTGTTGGGCGAGGTATTTTTCTTTTTTTTATGTTTTCTTTCGGACAACGGTGGCGTTACAACTGGTAATCCTGAAATACACAATAATACAGAGATAGCACCGGTCCTGTGGCGAAAGACGGCGTCTGGAGCTGGGGTTTGTTGGGGTGAGGAAGCTACCTAGTATTACTGGCCAATCACTGCCTTCCATCACAGTACTGTCACTTTGGTTCGTGTGTTGTTTTACAGTGGTACGCGTTATTTTGTTATTTTGTTATTTGTTTTTTGTATTTTTTATTTATTTTTGCTTTTTCCCAATTGTTGGTCACCCATGTGGTGATGGGTTGTTTTGCCTCCAGATATCTCATTTCAAGTCCGAAATCGATAGATAGATAGATAAATAGGTAGAAATACGACAGAGGGCGAAGGGAGCACACGCAGCCATCCATCCTGTTTTCTTGTGCTTCCATCCATCCATCCAGGTCTGGATTAGTCAGCCCAAATTAGCGCAATGTCACATGATATTTTCTTCAAAAGAAACCATCCATGAGAACGGGTGACCTCATACCCTCGCAGTCAACTACATCACATCACTCACATCCATCTTCAACAAATATCTATCTCCATGATTAAACACCGCTCTCCTGTCTACATAGATGTAACAGGGTTTTTTTTTTCAATGAATGTACGTTGGACCCTACTCTCGACTGAGTTTCCGCGAATGATATAGCTATATTAATTAATTGGTATGTATTTCTGCTTCTCTTTGAAATGTATCCTGGCTGCAGCAACTCTGATAAATGGGCCAAACAATATCTTATGGCCCTATTCTCTCCGTTTACCCTAAGAAATCCGTGGCTATCTTTGAAGAGGATACTTTCATTATGTTTTTAGTCCGAGCGCATTCCCGTTTACTGGGTCTTGTTTCTTTCTTTCTTTTTCGAAACTGGGTTCCTTTTTCGTGTTACACAGTCTACCCCCATGTGAGATGACAATAGATTTTTGCAGCTCTCCTTTTATATTTGATTCTTCATATTTCGGAGTGATTGATCCGTTAATTAAATTTAAACACTAAATTATGCTATGCAGGTTCCCAAGAGTTACACATATCATCTAGATATACCATTATGACTTTTTGCTTGGCTGATAGACTGCTATTTATCGAGCTCCAGCGCCCAAGGATTTATGCCCTCGCTAGCTCGGCATCATTCACGATCCACGATCCACTCAAAAGCCATGAAGCCCCTTTTCTGCCTGGCCCTCCTTCTAGCCGGCGTTGTGTTTGCCAATGTGGAGAAAACTATATTCACGGCACCCAAGCCTAGCCCGCTGCAGTCGTATCAGGACCTATTTGATGACCTAGAGATAGAACGATTATCCCCACAGGCACCATCTATCAGAACATATGCCTTAGCTTCATTTCCGTCGGAAGAGGCTCCCAAGGGATTTGAAAACTGGTTTTACCTTGACTCTCTGAAACCTGGCCAGCGATATGAAGTTCGCGTTTGCTACCTCGCAACTGTAAGGCTTTTTCCAATTATATTTAAACCCCATAACGATCCCAAACTCTTGACCCAAAAACTAAAAACAAGTGAAAAATTGAATTGAACTCAAGCAACCTACATCTTTCACTCTAACAACCTACACCGTCTCCGAAATCCTCGACTCCCCTTCCCTAATTTCCAGCCTAACTACATTCTCCGCCTCACACCTCCCAACGCTCCTTGAACGACTTGACAAAGACTACCGACAAAACCAACAGCAGCACTTGGCCGCCGACGAACACCCGCCCAGCAACCCTTTCGCCCTGCCGCCCAAACTGGGCCACTCATCGAGACAGGACGCTAGCAACAGGGCTTCAACATCCGCTTTATTCCTACAAGTCCACGCTGCTGCTGACTACTTCACAGTGGACAAGGGCTTGATGGAGAATGTGCCCCCCGTACATGTCGATGTCATTCTCGACCCTTATCTTTTTCACCTTTTTCCGAAATCATTGTTGCCTACTACTGTGTATATTCTTATTCTTGCGGGGATAGCTTGGGTTATCTCTTCGTTTGTGTGGACTGGATTTGAGGGTGTTGCGGGCTTGTCTAAGAAAAACAAAAGAGATCGGGAGAATCAGCTTAGGCAGCGTAGTGAGTCGGGGAAAAAGGAAATATGAGTCATTAGACGGCTTGCGCAGAGGGTTGATGGAGGAACGAGAGGGAGGAGGGAGAAGGAGGCTGAGGAGGCTGCGTGGCCTGTTACTTACTATCTGCTCGAATGTTCATGTCCCTCTTTCCCTGTTCCCCTCGGCTCCCATTATCGGATATGTATTCCATTAATATTGGCATTCTGACGCCTTACATAGCGTTATTGCATATTACGATTCCTTTGCATAGCTGTGTGACTGGTACTCAGATTCGTGCGCATGGCACGAGCTAAGTATAAACACCCCTGGTTCCAATCTCTCTCCAACCTCCAATCTTTTATACGCGGCTGAGCGGCAATTTTTTTTGACCGATGCGCATTTCGAATGAGTCCCAAATACGCCCGATAAATATATATATATATATATATAGGTATATATCTACTCATTGGAGATCAGACAGGCTGGTAAAGTCGGAAATGGTAGATGCGAGTCCGCCAAGAGAGAGCCAACGGTGGCCAACTACCCCTGGAGGGGGAATTTCTTGAACAGGCAGTGTTCGTTGAATGCTACAGACACCATCAGCTGAAGTGGCTTTCAAGACGTGTCATTGAGTGTTCATGCGAATTTATAGTTGACAAGAACGGTTTTATGTTTAAATTCGGAAGATTTCCTTTGACATATGAAAGGTCGCAAATAGCTCACCTTCACTTCACCCCTTGCTCCCGTGATGCACTGATGCTAGGCAGCCCATTAACCATTAGGAGGTAAATACTCCAAGTAAAGTCAACAAGTGGCCGGGTTTCATTCCAGTTCTTCACGCTGCCCTTTACATCCTTCGGGTTGGCTTCAAGCCCATTTACGCAGCGTAAAGTCTTTGATGATACACTTACCTTACCCCCGGTAGTTGAAGCCTCACATTTGACGCTGCTCATCAGATATCCAGAGCTGCGGCTGTTCTTCTCGCTTCCTACAAATTTCACGCCCCGCGGACTTAACCACATCTCCCGCCCGCATGAGACCTCATTGCTTCTGAAACTCCTTTTTCACACCATGTTAGTATATATACCTAAAATTTCCACCGAAAAAGAATATCCACGAACTGATTGATTGCAATGCAGAACGGAGCGCTCCATGAGATACAAACCTAGAATAGTCTCTATCTGAGACTCTCGTTAATCATTCGCGTATGGTTGGACGAAGCCACCAGAACAGAAAAATCCACCGCAGCTCTGCTCATATTTTAGCTAAATAACTTAAATAAACATTTCATCTGCCCTGCCAGGGCGAGTCCATTCCGATCTGTTAGAAGAGAGATTTGGCAACAGGTAGTACCTCCATGATGAATTTGCATGCCTGACATTTTAGCAGATCTCATCTGATCTGGTTCCCCTTAGTTTATTATTTTTCTTTTGCTTCTGTGTCATCCTTTGGCCTACCCTACCTTGAAGATTTTTCTATTGGCTGCATTGTGCATTCTGTGTCTAGATTTCGCGAGAGGGTGCTGGCCAGTCTATTCTATTGATTGAGTCGGCTTCTTCACACATTCGGAGGCGGCTGATGGATATAAATTTTACATACGTCCTAGAGATTTGACCCTTCCGCCGTATTGGACCGGGAATACGTGGCATTCTTTCATTTCAGAACAAAGATAAACACCCACTGCATCGCCCAGTTTCGGGATTTTGCTCTACTGGATCACTCCAACATACTAAAGAAAGACATTTGCGGAATTCTCTTCATTCCAGCCTCCTGTCTACATCTCTTTGAAACATGCTCGTTTTACTGTTCCTAGCTGAACAAACAACCCATATTACATCCGAAGATGGCATATCCCCTCAAGCAGCGTCCCTCGGCCTACTTGGCCTCTTCCTCACATTTTTCTCAGCAAACCCTCGTTTCGCCCATCAAATAAGGGCGGGGGAGCCTTCAACGATCTTGAGTTCTGTGGCGGCCTTGGTGGCATTCCGTGCCCTCCACCCAAGCAATGCTTTGATGATCCGACGGATGTATAGTCCAGACCTAGGACATCGTTAGTCCGAGGATTTGCCTTCAAGCAAGGAAATGATTTCTGGGGGTTGGGGTATGATTGAGAATGCGATTTGTAAGAAAGGGGAGAAGAAAGATGGATAAAGATTGGAGAAGCTATCAGTGGCGCATATTATCCCCCTCATGCAGGTGAGATTGAGATCTCGAGACGTGGGACGAGTGGCGGAGCACAGGGTAACTTGCAAGTTCCATTTTTGCAAAGGTTTATATAACTGGCTGATACGGCTAGCTAAAGTGTTGAGAATGTTATCGTCGAGCAGCCTTTCGAATATGATCCAATCCGCCCTTCTGGGCATATTGCGCCTCTCTCTTCATTTACATCCTAACTACAATTTATTTGTCTTTCCCACACATGCAATGCTGCAAACTTTGAAATGGTGAATGACTCGGGAAATCTATACTGGGCTGTGCATTCTACCATAAAAGATAGGAAAATATAAATACTCATGGTATGCTTCCGGCCCTGCCTTGCTTGCCCAGTTCAAATCTCGACATATCGACATCTTTAATGCTCTCTTTGGCCCAGCCCCTTTTTTCCCTAGCTGATTGAACAAGCTTCGTCAAATTGGCCTCTCCATTTCCAGGGACAATCTCTTCCACAACCTGTCAGTTTTAGCTTCTTGCGAGGATTCAACTGAGAACACATAAAAAAGAAAGATAAAAGAAACGCCTCCAAGATGAGCCCGATCGCCATTCTTGCCTTCCTGCTCGCCGCCGTCTCCGCATACCGTACCCCGCCGCGACAATACCAGCCTTGCGGCGACCATGGCATAAATCCCAAGCCCTGCCCCTTGGACTTCATCTGCATCGACGACCCGCGCAAGCCCGGTTGTGGTATGGCTTGCGATATTTCTGGCATCTGCATTAAACCTCGGTTCTGTGGCGGGTTTGCTGGCATCCAATGCCCCCGAGGGAAGAAGTGTTACGATGACCCAAGGGATACATGCGATCCAAACTATGGGGGAGCTGATTGTGGAGGGATTTGCGTGTGAGTAGCTTATGATTGGAGTTTAGTCGTGGTTGGTAAATTTGGGGTAGGGGCGGGGGGGCGGGTTAATGTGGGAGTATTGAACAAGAGTCAATGGGCGTTTCACCTTGTTATTATAGCTGAGGTTGAGATTGAAAACTTATTAGAGAGTTGGATGAGACGTGATGTGAGAGGGCAGAACTACAGAGGGTTTAACTAGAGCTTCCACCTCCAGGAGATTGAATCAATGGGTGCGAAGCCAGAAGCTGATACTGAGCGGTTGAATACAAAATGTGAACCTTCTTTTTAACCGGGCTGTAAAAAATGCAGAGGGATGTCTTATCTATGGGCATTAACGTGTGTACATTAGAATGAATTTTCTACCGAATACATCTATATTCAAGAATTATTGTTGTTGTTTGATGTTGTGGGTTCTTGCAACACTCTAGCAGTTAAATATATTAGAAATCCAAATTCCCCGTAATCAGGGTTATACCATCGGTCTGGATTGGATCCGGATTACAAAATTGTGTGACTTATTAATACTTTAACTTTATATCATAGGCTTTCTTGCAAAAAGTTCGGGGGCTATTGGGAATCTAAACGCCAAATTCAAGGATTATTTTGTTCCAGACACTCTTTGGTTTCTGGCAGGCCACATTTTTCATTGTAAATAGCCCAAATATTAAGGACAAGTGGCACTGATGTCTATATATATAAGATAACACATTCCCACCCGCCTGATCACCAGGACTAAAGGAAAACGAAGGAAAATGAAGGACGCAAGAAATATATGAACGCAAATAGCTCTAACAATTGGACAAAATCATACCTCCGCTAATCCATAAATCATCCAAACACTTCCTTCGTCTCCAAAGGATCCCGCCTCCTATTTCCCCGCCCTTCCGTCGTAAGCCCTAGTCCACTCTTCTTGACCGTTCTATCGGTCTGCCCAACTTGCCTTGTCGCGAACCGGGACGCCTTCCGTAGCCGTATTTCCCGACGCACCTGGTTGGGACTGACGAACTCCTTATTTTCGTAGATGACGGGCCCCCCGAAACTTCCCTCCAGTATCACAATGGGCGTCAGTACGAAGCGCGGGCCGATCTCGACCAGAGTGATATCGGGAGCACCACCCTTGCCACCTCGCTTGGGCTTCGGCTTTGCTTTCTCCGCATCATCTTCCTCAGCTTCGCCATCTTTTGTCTTCGTGGCAGCAACAGCCCCGCCCTCCGACTCGCGAATCTCAAACACCCGTATCCATATTTTCCCGTCAACGCCAAACACGCCGATGATCCGATCTATGAACGGCTTCATGCCCCGCACCCCGCGTTTCGGTACGCTGAATACACTCCGCAACATCTCTCGTACGAGACCCCTGTATTCATTCCCACTCCGCATCACAGCCGCCTCGTCGAATGTCTTATCAAACACAACCACCCCGCGTCCGCCTTTGAGGCAGTTGCCAGAGAACCCGGTTCCCATCTCGCCCATCGTGTGAAGACTGCTCACGGAGAATTTTATGGTGGGGCCATTTGGTGGTCGTGAGAGCCAGAGGTAGAGGTCCTGGCCGCGCTTCTTGGCTTCGAGGAAGAAGATTACGTTGCACGAGTGGAGGTCTGCAAGAGAGTTGAGGAGGAAATTGTAGCCGGCCGTTTTCTTTTTAGTGTCGAGCTTGCTCTCTTTGTGTGTGTGTGGGAGGAGGGAGGTGAGGTCTGAGAGAAGGTGGCGGTGCCTGGTGGTGAATTTATTCTATTAGCTTTATTTTGCACTGGTACATGGATCATGTTTAGACTGCAGCCATAGCTACAGCTGCGTGGAAATGAGATACAACGGTTCAGCATGGCGAGTATTTCTTTCACATACCGATGTGTAACTCCTCTCGAAGTTAGCATAAGCACTCGAGTTTTAGGCATGAATCCTGATGATAACGATTGCGACTTAGTCGCTACACCACCTTCAAACCCATTCTGCTCATTCTGTTCATCCTCATCTTCGTAGTCATCGCTATCGCTTGTCTCATCCAGGTCATCTGACAGATCGTGCATGGAGACATCGGCGTCCTCCATATCCTCGCGGGTGACGGATGCTTGGTTTTTCTTTTTGGACAGGGACTTGTATACGGAAGACATTGTGAAAAAAGGGCCTTATACAACTAAAATTCAAATGAAAAGAAGGATTGTCAACGAGACGGAATACACAAACTCGCCCAGTTCATCGAGATTGGATATGTCTCCTCGCGATTAATATTTTTCGCGGCAGAATCTTTTTTTAATGAAAAGCTTAAGAAACTCGGGACTCACCGCCTTTTGATTGCCTTGGTCTACGGCACGTGATATGTGATTCGTGGACTAGTTAAAATGGCTGCATGGAACATGTTTGAAATCAGTTTGAGCTCCTCATTAAATCTATCTGCACATCTGTCCAAGAATCTATTTAGTATATTCTTTTCAGTTTTAAGTGTAACTAACCGCCAACAAATCAACCCTACGTTCGCCTACATCAGCCTAAAAAAATGCGCAAGGCAAAGTTCCAAGATTGAAAAAGTCCAAAAGAAAAAGAGAATGGGGTGGGGGTTAGGGGGAGGAAAGAAATATGGAAAAAAATTCGTCCAGTCATCAAGGCCATACAAGAAGGGAGCATATCATTCGACGGGGAAGTCATTATAAATAGCGAATGAATGCAAAATTCGTTCGTAGATCATAAAACATTTTTTTGAGGTTCTCGCCCGTTTACTCACTAGCCTCCGAACCTACCTGCCATAGCCACCTCCGTAGTGTTGCTGAGAATGTGCTGGCGGATATCGTTGGCCCCCATGCATGTCTGGAGGAGAGGGTGCTGATCCAGGATGCCCATGCCAAGGCTGTCCACTGACCTGACTAGTCTGTCGTTGCATTCCACGATCATCGTGCATGTTCTGTGGCGGCATTTGACTATATGGCGGATTAACTCTCACGTCGTATGCGTAGTTCGGCTGGCCTTGGTGGGCCCCGTACATATTGTGGCTTTGGGAAGGAGGGCCCATGCTCTGGTGATACATCCCCTCCGGCGGGTATGGGGGCTGTTGGCTGCGGGGCATGCCTACCGGCGGGGAATGGGAGTTAGGGGGTACCCCAGGGTGTCCACCGGAATAGTGAGGATTGTACTGCGGCTGGCCCATGGAGGGATGTGGGTTGTAGTGGGGTGCTGGGTGTGATGGATAGTTCCTCGGGGGTGTCGTTGTCATGCTCAATCGTGAGCCATGTGATTGACGTGGGCCGCCTCGATAGGGTGTGGGGAATAAAGGAGGCGCGTTTGGATCTGGGTGGATGATGGTGATGAGGTTTTCTTCCGGCTGAGGGTTTTGCACTGGTCTTGAGGCGTAATGGCTAGACTGGGCTTGCTGAATTAAGAGCTGTTCATTTGAATGCTGTACTTGGCCATCATAGCTGTTGGTCGGAGCTGGTTGGCCACTGGCTGGCTGGGAATGATACTGGCTATCCATGTTTGCGGCAGGACCGGCTTGGTGGGTCGTGTAAGGTTGATGCATTCGCATCTCGACGTCCGTGTGGTAGGTCGACGAAGAATCTTGCTGCGTCTGGTAAGATGCGGCAGTATTCGGGCTCACGTCCTGCATTTGCACGTTTCCTTGGTCCATTTGATCACCTTGATGGAACTGAGCGGATCCGGACATGTGTTGAGAGTTTAAGTTTGATGAGGGACTCGCTTGACCAGCAGGGGAATATCGGACCTGGCTCTGTTCCGGCTTTGGGAAAGTTAGCCTTTAACCCAGTATGTTTACTGGTGGATGCACCGGAAGACAAAAAAGGGGGATGTATACCATCTGCTGGTTTGATGTGTTTTCGCTCCCATTCTGGCTGGCGACGCGGTGGGCGAGATCTGAGGCAACCTGCCCTAGGATACCCTGGCTGGGGGAGCGGGACTGCTGCTGCTGTTGCTGCTGCTGGCTGGAGACTCCGCCGACCGGAGTGCTTTGTGTTCCTGCAGACGGAATTTGTTGATAATCTTGTCCTGACTGTGGAGTAGTCTGTGAACTATCAAAGGGTGTGGTCTTCAAGGCATTTTTTATACATTAGTTAGCTATACCTTGGTAGAAAGGAAAAGAGAAAAGCACCCCAGTGACGTACGAGAAAGCTTCCCCCGGACTGTCTTAAGTTAGCTCCACGAAGATTCAGCAGCTCCCTCGTTGCCTCAGTAGTATCCTGTGCTGGCATGCTACCCACGCGGGGCGGATGGTAGGGCCCAGGGCTGGCCACAGATTGGGGGGTCGACGAGGGCGTCGGGACAAAGGGTTCGGTAGGAATTTCCCATTGTGATTTGCCAGTTGCGCGCTGTACGTAGTACCATTTTCTCGAGACACCTTCCCACTGCGCAAGCCTTATTTGGATGAGAGAAAATTAGACATTGTCAGCAGGAGCCTCTCAACACCGCGCGGAGGGACGGGTAGAAAGAGACATGCGTACCAGCCCTCGGGAAGCGAAGGTGGAGGAGAGGACGGCCCGCCGCTGTCTGCGGGGGTCAAAATGCGCGAAGATTGTGCGCTCATGTTTGAGTGGAGGACTTTTTTCTGCTACCTGTATATATATATATGTAAATCGACACAACCCAAGTCAGCAAATATTTTAGGTTCTAACCGCAAATGAAGGAAAAAGATAAAATAAAATAAAATAAAATAAAAAGTAAAAAATAAAAAAGCAAGAGAATAGAGAGGTCGATTGAAAAGCGTTCTTTTAGAATCCGTCGAGACTTTGCTAAGTCCACCGTTTGGAGCATTCAGCAGCAAATCAGAGCACACCAAAGTACCATGTAAATAACTAGATCAACAGCAGCCAGCGAGGAAGAACCGTGCAGAGCAATGCCACGACAGTAGCTGCGGGGAACTAATCGACAGCGCAACCAATGTACAGTACACATAGAACACATTTATCAAAAGGATTGGGCTGTAACACGGAGGAACAGTGATATCGGAGACGCGTGGTGGAGGAGGTATATCAAGATTTGCGAAGGGAAGAAAGGCATACGTTTTGCGTAGGAACTATTGTAGTGTGTAACCCCAAGTACGAAACTATGTAGTATAGCTGTTGCTGGTTGGCTAGATACGTGTCCAAACAAAGGTCGGGCTTGACTGGGAGAAAGCGGGAGTTGTATCAGGATGAGTGTGAGTCTCATAGTCAACCACAGTAGGAGCAGTAGGAGCAGTAGGAGCAGTAAATAGGAGCAAAAGAGAAGAGAGGAGAGGCCCAATACCCTCACCAGAACGTTTCGATTCCGCCTTTGCATGCAGCGAGCGAGCGGACAGGACAGGTACTAGTAGCAGATCCGGCGGGCGAGAGTAGGCGAAGGAATGGACATCGAGCGCTTTCTCAGGTGTTGTTGTAGTTACATATGTATAACAGCGAGGGACTGCGAAGCGGGGCTTGGATGGACACAGGAGGAGACAAAAGCCCTCTGGTAGCAGACCAGGAGGGATATTTATTAGATCAACTTCGCAGTGCTTAGACAGTAAGCAGACCACGCTGTTGTGCCGAAGAAAACGCCTTCCACGTGCAATGATGCATGGTTACCTAGGTATCTAACTTGTCCAGCAAACAATGTATCTTACACTTGTGTCTGTTGTGTTTATTTATCTGTGGAGTATGAAAGTTGCGCTGAAAATTAATTGATTTCCACTCTATATACTAAATATATATATATATATATACCTCCCGAAACTCTAACCCCTATCAGCTCCATGTTCGACCGCGAACGGGGGCTCGCCGGGAGGCTTGTCTATATTCACATTCCATATTTGAATACGGCTTCACATTCTAAAACACCCTCAGAACCAGTGCCCCGTGGTGTGTAATGCTTTGATTTAGAGCATGGATTTGTATCATATTTATTGCGAAAACCAGGGGAATTGACGTGAAAAAAAGGAACTAAAAGAGAGCGAAAAAATACATCCGCGACATTAAATGACTTCAGGCGCCCTGTTTTCCATAGACAGACCAGTCCGTCGGTTTCTTGTGTAGTATCCCATCCCAAACCAACCCAACACCAGGGTCCTTCCATTGGTACCCGGAGAACAAAAGAATCAACTCATAGAGTGCCTTCCTGAAAAAGGAAATATTGCGCCTGTCCTGTATATCTGCCATGACTATTGTCCCAACCATGTGATCGCATATTGATACAGAAAGGAGAAAATCAATGAATGAAAAGAATAAAGCAGGAAAAGGAGAAAGAAAAGAGCAAATTATACCTCCAAGGACAGGATATAAGTGGCCGCTTGGCCACCAAGGTTTACCATGCATAGCGATCCACCTCCACAGGATCCCGTCCGCTCCAGTCCTCGTCACCCGTATCGTCGTCCTCAAAGTTATCGTTCGTCAGAAGATTATCGGCTGGTCGTAAATTGTCCACGCGTATCTCTACCACGTCACACATGCCGTGGATGAATTCCTCCTTCCCAGCGGAATCAGCTTGAGGATAAATTTTCTTGGCGATTATCCGCCGCTCAGTGTCGCAGGTTTCAACAGATCGTTGCTGGGCAATCCGTGTACTATGCCTTGGTCCGGTGCGAGCTGGTAAGTCTTTGTTGGTGCTTGAAAACGACCTAGAACGGGCGCGGTTGGTATGTCCCTCAGCAGTCTGGCCTTCGGGAGTCGATCTAGAACGCTGATTGGGAGGTAGCGAGCACCTGCGATATGTCCTCTCTAATTTGCCGACCCATTCCCTGCGGAAAGACGCCCGATCACGCCATCCGATTTCAAGGATTGCTGACAATTGAAGGACTCTCAAATTTGGCAAATATGGTGCCGAATGGATCAAAGAGTCGAAGAATAACATGGCCGTGGATATTTCCCATTTTCGCAAACGCTCTAGTTTCAGGATTTGCAACGAGGCTGGCCACGAAGGGACTTCAGAGTCGTGAAGGAGCTCGTCAAAGTATGGATCGACATCATGAGTAAATGAGACCGGTGAGGTAAAATTTAAGTCCAGCGTGAATGCTTCCAGATGCGGACATGACATGGCTAGGTCAGCTGTGAAGGACATGTTGAGATACCGGTTATGTTCAAGTACCAGGTCACGGAGGCTCTGGCCGCGACGGGCAAGAAAGGTGCCAAGGTTTGCAGACGTAACATTTTCACAGTTGACCAGCTTTAGCGATCTGAGGTTTAGGTCGAGATATGATAAAAGGTTATCATCGACACTGTAACATCGACTGAATTCTAGCTCTTGCAATCCCGGGAGTAATGATAGAGCAGATGCGAAAAGTTCTCCCGACTTTGCTTGGTCCTCATCTGAGTTATTGCCATTAGCATTGTCATTTATCGAGGAGCTGGGAGGTAGATTGAGGAGGTGTAAACTCCGCAAGTTTGTAAATGCTGGGCGACGGTGGACCGCCGCAATCTTCTGCGGCTGAAAACGCGGTGATGACAGCAGAAATTCTCCATTCCAAGTCCAACTGCGGAGGCGGATATTGTTCGCATCTAGGGCATCTAGAAACTTTTCCCAGGTATTTAAGCGCTGCTTCACATTCATGGGAGGGGGCATCGCAAGTTGTGTTGCATCGTGGAGCCGTAGGTGCTGGAGTTGAGGTGTGAGAGCGATCAACTGCCCGAGGTCAAGATGGCGGACGTGATAGTGGCGAAACAGGATGTCGAGTCGCTTGATTTTGTTTCTATAGTTTGTATAAAGGGTCTCTTGTGGCCGTTCTAATAAATGGACCAGGCCTGACAACCTGGATGGAGGAAAAAGGGGCGGCGAGTAGTAGAGCGTTGTGATGGCGGGCTCAAAAAACTCTCGACACAGGCGCGACGTACTTAGGAGCCAACGAACTGATTTGGTGAGATCTGATAAGGCAGGAGACGTTGATGGAGAGAAAGCATGATTGAAAATATTAAGGAGGATATGATAAGGGAGTTTTTGCCATGGCGGAATTGGCCCAATCGGGGTTAGACGCGTTGCATCAGAATCTGTCTGTTGCCTCTGCTTCTTGGGCGATGGGGTTTTAGGGAATTGCTGAGAGTTTTTGGAAAACAGTGAGCGTTTAGCACGAGCGGATGACGATCGTGTCACTTTTCCCGGTAGTAATGGCGGAGTGGATCCGCTTTCGGCCCCAGCATCAGCTAGTTGCTCAGAAAGATGCTCAGCGGCTAAATCTTCACGGTAGGTCAACGGACGGCGACGAGTGGAGGAGCAGAATCGATCAGAACCATAACTATCCGTATCATCAAGGAAAGACAAATCATTATCGCAGCTATCCTCCCGGTACGTCCTAACTCGCTTCCTAGTTGAGCGAAGTGGACGCGCTGAGGGTTCTCGGGGTTCTGAGCGAAGCGGGCGAAGTCTGGGAGCCATGCGCACAGTAAAGTAAAGACATTAACCCAAATAATGGGAGAACGAAAAGGAGAAAGAATCCCAAAGTGTGTGTAATATTTAAACCATCAGCGCATTCCTGCGCATGGTGGAATTAGGGGGTGAAAAGAAAAAGATATCAAGTGCCTCGGGCTTCGTGGATAACAGGGAGGAGAAATGTGCCATTGGCCAAAAGCGGTCACCGAAACAACGGTGAATCAGCAAACAGAGTTGCAATCCAGAAATCTGGTGATGAGGAATGATGAGTGAAGCTGACACCAAAATTTTTAGCTCCTTCTCTGGGTAGGAAAGTTGGCAGAAGTCAAGGGTTGGTGGTTGGCTAGCGGATGGCGCGGGGTTGTCGCTTATCGCTTATCGCTTAATCAGCAGTCATGTGATAATGATCAAAGCTAGCCCAAAATAGAACTAGTTTCGATGCAGCGCCCGAGGGACTGTTTTCGGATGATCGTTCGAGAGCCATTGTGAGAAATAAAGACCTGCCCACTTTCAAGAATCAAAATCTTTGGATTTGATTTCAATTCCGTATCATCAACACACACAACACCAAAGAAAGGCTCTCGAATCCATTTGGAGTGCATATCCGAAACCGTTGGTCTTCAGGGTTTGCCGAATCCCAGACCGAAAGTGTTTTTTAGTGTTCTTGGGCAACTCGGGAAGAAAAAACTAGTGTGGCGGGTATTTCTATACATGTAGCTCGGGACATTGAAATTATCAACCTGAACGTTGTTTTTCTGTGCCAGCGTGAAGCCTTGTGCACAGTGCAGCCACTGGCTACCTCCTCATGATAATTGATTTCGGTCTGTCCAGTGTGAAGTGAGATGACCATTTAGGTTGTAGAATAGCGACAAAGGCACATGTAGATGTATTTCTGATCCCTGGAACTGACATCATTCAGGTCTGTGTCCTGTTACGCTCCGAGGTTGATAGTTAGTGACTAGATACTGGAAATATTGATGTTATGGTATAATGCTTACCTGAAGCTGCTTGTCGTCGCCTGGAGTGCTGTGAACGACCGGCAATGAGGATTTGAGCGTGCCTCCGACATGGACATTTGGCTCTTAGGGGTTTGAGAGAGAAGAGTTCATGGAATCAGCAGCAACCATGCACTATTTTTGACTCCGAGTTCGGTTGCTGCCCAGGATGGATTTCTGTTTTGTTGCAGTTCTTGTGACAGTGGATGCCATGACCAATCAAAAGTAAGCTTTCCGTGCCTCCTACACGGATGCATGAGTTATGTAACTCAAGGGAGAAGAGCCCAACTAGCAGGAAGAAATGGAATATGGTTATTGATTGCGGATTGGGTTGGTGTCTGCGATGACCCGCTGGCTTTGTGGCTGGTATTGAAAGCTATGACCATCGAAAATGAGACTTCTGTGCCTCCTACATAGATATCTTTGGACAGCGGTTGATCCGAGTGGCAGTAACAGTAAACAGTTTATTGATTGCGAATCCGATTGCTAACTGAGATTACCTCTTACTACCAGAATCCATGGGGCCGCCCTTTTGATCACTTAGGTCTCGCGATAGTTTTCACTGGAGTTTTGAAACAAAGATAGAGCAAAGCAATGCGTGACACAAATAAAACATGCTGCAGCTGCGGATATAGATTCTGTGAAGTAAGTCGTTCAATTGTCCAGCATCTATCCTTCCAAAGGCCGTAGCAAACTGATTCTTTGGCCCACCATTGTGTTTTCGAGTGGCGTACCACCGTACCAGAGAGTGACCAGTGAAGCTGATCCAAATCCGAAGACGGCCCTGAAAAGTTGGCCTTATTAGGCATACTTCATAGCCTCTCTAGGCTGCAGCGTATGACATTGGTTAAATACACTTGAGAGAGGGCACTAACAAGCTTAGTGTGGATTATAGACTTACATTTTCAGAGATGGATTATTTCCCCTGAATGACAAGTAATCAAGTAACTAATCGGGAGGCTGCATCGACTTGCGATATACTCTGTAGAAAACCTTATAATGACTGAAACTGCGGCAAAGTTGGTCTGCTTGCTGCGTACTCCGTATATCGAAAGGGTTTGAACTCATGTATCTCCAAGTTCGTCTCCTTATTCTGAATATACTGCGAACACTGAATTTTCTAGAGGATACTAGAATACTCATAGCAAACAACTTGTTGTTTGGATGGAGATACTAGACATTACTATTTGGGGAAAGAAGAATACCACCTATGATACAATAATAATGAACATCAGAATTTGCCTTTTCATTGCTTCCCATGCCTAGTACACGCTCAAACATCTTCTCTGAACTGCTGCACCTACTTGCAAGGAACAAATATCCGCGGCTGGGTAGAAAGCCACATATCCACCGAGTCAAACTTGTCATCACTAATTCAGATCCATCATCGCTCTCAATTCCCACAGGGTCTACACACTCATCATCATCCAGATCATCGTCGTCAGCCTCGGCCGCACCACTCAGTGCCATGAGACGCTGCAAGACCCATTGCATATCTAGCAGCCTTATGTTTGGTAAAGGTAGATTAATCGGATTAGATGTTTCAAGAATTACCTCATCTCCAGAATGAATCGGGCGATCAGTGATGACATTATGTATCTTTAGATGCTTGGATTCAAAAAAAAGTTTTTCCACGATTTAGGTGGCTTCAAAAAAATCATGCTAGACCCTAGACCAGCATTGGGGTAGTTTCGAAATGAACGCTCAAAATTTCAGACTCGGAGGCCTAAAAAGAAAAAGAACTGGTGGAGCATAACATGTAGTTAACTATCAATTGCACTAGTCCCAATATAGTTGGGGTATGACTATATAAGGTTTAGTCTGTCTTGGCCTTCACAGATACAGCAATATCTGTTGGGGTCCCGGGTTGATCGGCCCTTCTACCAGCAGTGCGCTGGTGGTGACTGAGCTCTTTTGCCCCAGTAGCCTACAATATCATTATCATCAATGCATGCTCATTGTAATAACTTACTAGTATAAAATATATAAAATACACATCTGACTCATCCTCTGTATAGGCTGTCGTAGAAAAGCTGAGCATGGTTAGAAAAGGGAAAGCATCCCATCTAAAATACATACACACTAGAGCTTCTCACTATCTCAAAACACTCAATACTTAACACATAGTTATGTTAAAGATAAGAATTATAGAGTAGTTACTCTCTAGAATAGTTAACTGAAAACCCCTTTCATTTTTTAAATATAGTAAGTATTGTGTTATGTGAAAAATCATCAATGCGTAAAATAATCTCTAATTGAAATGGCGTATCTTTCCGCTATTTATTATTAGTCTTGAGAAGGAATGACATGGATGTAGAAGGACGAAACTTACTATGTTCAGCTAAGAAGACACCACTCAACAAATCGAACAGATGATGGTAGTTATTTACCACAGATCTCAAAGCTAGCCTTAGTTGGCTCTTTTATGCCATTCTTCTATCATCCAACTCCTTGAACGCTAACTAGGAGGACTCATGTGTGTGGTTTTCCCTTGGAAATTCATGTGGCATCATGCATTGCTCTGAGTACTGGAATCTCATCTCTCAAATAATTAATATTGCATAGGCTTCGAGATCAATCTATAATATAGAACATACCTCTTAAAAGACAGCGAAGAGGGGACAGAGAGAGGGAAATAAAATGAGAAGCGTAATCCAATTTGGGAGATATATAGAAATACACGAAGGGACCAATAAACCACACATACCCGAGCTCAGCTCAACGGAACAGCGACACATCTAATCCAACTAATGGCACGCTTTCCCATATTTTTGTAGCCTGATATAGTTATATGGGAGCGGCGCAAGGAAGCCTGCGGCCATAGACACACCAGCAGCACCCCAGAAATAAGGGTCAGAGAGAGCGACCACTCCACCGGTCAAATGGTAGTCCACTGTATTCTGGACTGCCTCCATGCTAAGCATTGAGATCGTACTCATCCCTGCAGCCGTTTTGAAAGCCTGCGCCCAGCCCAATTTATCACGTCCAAGGTGAAGCAAAACGGTTTCAAGGGTCATAGAACTTGCAATGCCACTCGCCACTGATGGAAGCTGATTAGCATGCTACGACGAGATCCATCGTGTTAGGGAAAAGAAAATAAAATGAAATCACAAGACTTACTAGCTACTCCCATGATGTATCCGACGCTTAAATCCGGGTAGTACGCCTGTAAGAACCACATGGCGGAGAAGTCGCCGATTGTACACCCAATTAAGCAGCGCAGTGTGTTGAGCATGGCTCTTTTCCAAATGGGAGGCGATTTCCAAAAGGATAAGCTAAGCGGAGATGAGGGGATAGTCGGCGGCGAGGTCTGACATTGGCGGTTAGTGTCAGATGAAGACTTTTCCACTCCCGGCGATACGTTGGGAAGGGTATGTTTTGATCTGAAATTATAGACACCCTTCGCCCAAGTAACACGTCGCTTAGCAACTTGTTCGCAACGCAAAACTGGCCCCCGAAATATTATCCCACGGGTGACCCTCATCCTACTCGAGTGCCTTAGAGTCCACATATGCCAATATATATAAGGGAGAGAATAGTGGGATGAATATATGGTGTTTCAGTGATTAATGGCAGCTATGGTGAGTTGCCTCTGGATTTGCGACTTGTTTCGCGAGATTTGAAAGTCGCGGCAACGCTAGGAAGAGCCCGGATATGGCAATACGGTAGAAAGTGCGGCGGTCTAAGCCGTTTCGTCGTATGCCTTCGGCGAGGATAAGAAGCGTAACCCAGAAGAAGAAAGGTCGGAGGGATTGAAATTGGGATGCGGACGCTGAGCCGATGGAAAAAGCATCAAGTAGGGTCTTGATTGTTTAACAGGACGTAAATATTAGCTTCAGCTCAAAAGATACATACGAGTCTGATTCAGTTGAGAACAGAGAATAGCAAATTAGGGAGGCCTTACCGGAAGCCAGCAGCATGTGCTATGAAGGAGAGCAGATGCAACGGGTGAGACGAACGAAAACAGCGATGAGCTAGTTAGGCTAGGGTTTGACGCGGTTTTCGAGTCGGACGAAGCTTTGCGCTCGTTGTTTGGATCGCAACAGGATGCCATAGGTACGAATGGGCGATGGATGACTAGATATATCAAGGGATATGCATATCAAGGCATATCACGAACTTATGTATATACGGGACCCAACCCCCCTATCCCGACGGCGTCGCAAACTCGCAAAAACCACGCACTTCGTAAGGTCTGGGCATCAAATAATTGTGGATTACATCAGAAACTGACAAAGCAATGAGCGATTTGTGTGGATACACGTCACTTGCTTGGCGGATATCGCAAATATCCCAATATCCCATGGATATTCCGAGGGGTTGTCGGGGTTTGTCGTTGTGGTCAAGCCTGCCGTTAAAATAGCTAACTTATTTGTCAGGAAATGTTCCTGGAAACGCGCGCTTCGTTAGCCAATCAGGCCGGTTTAAACTCACCAGCGAAAATTCAGTCGAGTTTGATCGTAAAATGTGGGATTAGTCTAAAGCACCGCACACGTTGGCAGTGAGTAAGTTACATGTACTAAGTACTAGGCACCAAGTACAGTACATAAATCCATCGAGACGAGGCATGTGTAGTTGCCATAACTTGAAAAATTGGCCGTGTGAAGAAAGAGAGAGCATGAATGGCCGTCAAGTCGCTGTCCGAACAAACTTGAGTCCCCCATTTTTTTCATTTTTGTATGAAGGATTTTTGGGTTAGTTATAGGTTTCTTGGAGACGGAAAATGCCTACAATCGTAACTTGTGCACCCGCAATTCGCCCAAGCACTAAGCTCAAGGAGTGGCTAATGCTATAAATATAAATCGTCCCTGACTTCCCTTGCTGCTCAAGTCTCTAGTATCATGTGTTAGAAGATCACTATTGATTCAAGAGAGATCCTGAGAGCAGGGGTTAGAATTAGGACAAAGTTTTACTGGTGGCATGATATATTATTATTATATTCTATAGACTTTTCTTACTGTCTGCCAAAGATGCACTGCCGCCGAGCTCAGCAAAGAAATGAGACGTTGTCAACTGTGGCTCGGCCTAGGAACCGCCACAGGCGATGGTGAAAACAAGATAGCGTGGAGACTAACTGCGTAGGGATAACTACAACATGAAACACGAAATGATCGCTATTGTACCCCCCAATTTTTCTTTGGTGACTAATTTTTTAGCTTTAGGGGGATCATCTACTACCTCACGTCACCTACCGGCGCTGAAGCGTCAAGAAGCCAGATGCATCCGAATGCCGTACAGCACTTCACCTGGGTAAATAAATGCGTACCAAATTGGGATGCAGCATCGATCCTTGTCACATGTTTTGCATTTGGGTGGTGCTGCATGTGCCCGGCGAAGATTTTGAACAGCCGAAATCATTCTTTGCAATCAAATCGTAGCTACCTGGGCCGTTGCCTGGACTAGCTTTCTTACAGGCAGTTCCCGGGGGGATCTTCGTATGACTGGACTGGCCATATCCCATCCCCGATGCAATCATCTGCTACTTGATCAGGACATTACAATAATGGTTATCAATATATTGTAGCCAGAATACGGGGGCGTTTCGAGACTGGTATGCACTTCCTGCTCATACTGGACTGTATGTATGTATGTATGGGACCCACTTAGTAACTGCCATGGTTGGTAGATTCGAGGCGAACATCTGGAAACAAGAGGGCGACAAAAATAAAAAATAAAATAAAATAAAAATAAAAATAAAATAGAAAAGAAAAGTAATAGGACGAATTTTGAAGGAAGGGTTTCCCTCAAAGAATAACCAAATATTTTGCATAGTGCTAGTCTTCCAGGAAAGAGAAAGGGTTCACTAGATTGTAACTAAGTTACTCCGTAGAATCTTGCCGAGTTAACTAACTACGGAGTACTTTAGATCCCAGTCAAAAACGCACTCTCCGTCATTGTATTCGCTCCTAAGGACCATCAGATACTGGCCCGAGATTCTCATCTCAGATCTAAACACCCTTGGTCACCTCGTTCCTTTGGCCAAATGTTAAACTCTACCCTACCTCCTCCCATAATGCACGTCTAAAGACCTGTGCCATCCTGGGTCTGAAGTGCCCAAAAAACAATTATCTTGATGGAACTAGCTCCTGATCAGAACAATAGAAGTCAAGGGTTATGATCAACGTACAACAGGTTGCTGCCGGTTATGTTGAAAATATTAAACACGAAGTATATGTTCGCCATATGTACTAGGTTATTTTTCAAACACAGGATTAGAGAATAGTTGTAACGCATTAAAAAGAATAGAACCTGATAGAAACTCATAAGTGACTGGAGAGGGAATGGACGTTGGATACAAAATATTTAGGTTTGCAGATGGTGCAAACTTAGTTGATTTAATCCTAGCGGGAACTCTAATCTTGGCAGTCGGCAGTCGGCATTCGGCTCTCGATGGCCGGCAATCAATGACTGTTACAATGTATTGACAAGAGACTGATTTGAATGAGTCACTAGATACGGCTTATTCTAATGTTTAAGTGATAATGTGTCTATACTCTTCTATCCCTTTGAAAGATCATATATCTTCTATAGCTGAAACCTAGCTCTCTTTCTTGTACATGTACTGTAACTACTTACTTTCGGCGATCCGCTTCTCGGTGTCGCCCTGCTCGCGTAAGCATGGTAGTCAGGTACTATGCAGTGTTGAAGGCTCCGGGGCTTGCGCATGAGCTTAAAGAAAGTATTACGCGGCATTAGACAATATGAGATATGACCATCTAACTAAATATACATGAAATTGTGGGCTACTTGAGTGGAAAATACAATATCTATTGAGTTCAAAATTTGTAACAGCCATACCACTATTCTCATATGATTTCTCTATTTTTTTGATAAATTCCTTTCCTTCTACTTCTACAAGTTGGATCAAACTTGCCCATTCTTAAAAGTCAACTATTCTTATTGGCCGGATAATGTGTGGGCTTGTGTGGTACTTCACTCACTATTGCTTGTGTTGTCACTCTGTGAAGCAGACTGTCTTCACTAGAAAGCCTCTATCTGCTTCTTTTTAATTAGTCTGTCTCTTGCAGTACTCTCTCATATCTATCATCTTTGTCTCCTATATTCTTACACTCTTATTCTCTCACAACTCCCCACTGACCCAATTACTTTCAATTTGGTTAAGTTTCACTCATCTACGCAACTACCTGGCCTTTCAACTACCCTTGTTAAGAAACTCGTTGACCTCTCGGTTGTTTATCATCACGGTTACCTGGGACGATGCCGCTGATCGTGCTCTTCTGCTCAATGTTATTGACCCGGTTGCGAAACCCAACTGGGAGCGTGTTTCTGGTGCTATGGGAGATGGCTTCAGTGCTGAGGCTTGTCGGTACGATGATTCTCCAATTGTTATATTTCAATCCCTGTACTGTTTCTAGATGTCTAGTATTCTTTTGCCATTATTCTATCTCATATCCCATCTTCAGGCCAAGCATGACTGATGGGCTAGCAGGCAACACTTTCGAAAGCTCAAAGCTGAGGCTTTAGGGGAAGGCTCGCCCGCTGCTACGACATCTTCTACTCCACCAAAACCAAACGCAAGGCGAACGGGCCAAATGGGACTGATGCCACCCCAGCTAAAAACCCGCTATTCCTTCTGTTTTTGTCCCGTCTCTCCGGTAAGCGGGTCTCGACACCACTCCTTTGCACACTAATACGCCGCTGACAATTTATATAGCGGGTCATTGAAAAAGAAGCAATTAGTATGGATCATGAATTCGAAGCTGTAAACTTAACTGTTCTATGTTTTTACTCGCTCAGCTAGTTAATTTCGCGAAATACATTGTTTTCTCCCTGACAGTTTGAGGCAATGGTGGTGTTTACATTTGCAGCGAAGGCCATACTTTCAGCATTCAGTCAAGGACACAGCGGGCCTCTTTTCGCGAATCTTAGATACGATAATGTCTCTTTGATTTCGTTTTCGTTGGTTTGATCATTGTTTGTTTTCGAAAACTATGCACCCAAAATTTTAGTTGTAATTGTATGGGAAGAAAAGAAATATTGCACCAAGATGATGAAGGCTGTAACGCCTTGGTTGATATCACACTACCGTGTCTCGTGCTTGACGATGTGATCCGAAATTTTGTTATGCATGTGCGTTGTTGGAAGCTAGAATGACGCAGCAGATCCTATCTGACGCGGTAAGGGCTCTATGGAGAAAGCAGCGACTACTTTCAATATTTTGGGAATATCCAACCTCGCAGCTGTCGCAAACGACCTTGGCTGTTTTGAGGGATGGAAACAATGGAACGCCGGCATATTACCGCCTATCTAGTTTATAGCTTCATTGCAGAAAAGCGAAAAAATGATTTTTTTTTTCTTTCTTTCTTGTTTTTTTCTTTTCTTTTCTTTTCTTTCTTTTCTTTTTCTTTTCAGTTAGAGAGGGTATTCATTATCCATCAACGCTTGACGTATCTCACCTGTTGGACCATGCAGTTCCTACGGTTAGAATGAACTAGGAATTATAGCACATCATCCCTCTGTAGCTCTTGCATAGCCGGGATTCTAATCCCACAAACAGATTGATTCAAGGATAGAGATGCGAAGTAGTTCCCTTACTTTTGTGTCCTCGGAGAATACCTGATAGTTCTGTGTCTGGATGGCTTGTTTCTTACTCTCAATAGCCAAAGCGGAAGTTCGCCTAGTAGCAGTGAATGAAGTGTTATATTCTTCAGGCCTCAGAACAACATTCGAGTCCTTTATCTACACATAATTCATGCTGTTTCTGCAGTAGAGCCTTTTACCCTCTTTCCCACATCTCGAACAACTGTGATAGATCATACTGGTCGACATTTCAGTTCCGTCTCCAGGATCTAGCTTCTAACCCTAATCTTAATCTAAAAGTACGAACATTTGGGCTTTAGCTTCAATGGCCAAAATGCGGATGACCTGGGATAGCCCTAATGATGCAAAGGTATGTGAAATGACAAGACTTGCAATTGAGGCTTTTCAAAGCAACTAACGCTGCTTAAGCTCCTGAGGGGAATCCTCAAGTACGCCAAACTTGGAAAGAAAGGTTACCAAGAGTTGGCAGACCATATGGGTAATGGTAAGGGGAAATATCACTGCCAAGCTGTGTTTGTTTTGTATTACAAGGGACCTTTTCGTTGGATGGTAAATCATGGGCAGCTCTAACTATACTAATGTTTCTCTAGGATGCACCGCGATGGCTATCCAGAAACGTATTCAAAAACTCCAGGGAGCTGGCGCCAAAGATGCTTCCGAGTCATCTCCTCGATTGACTCCAAATCAGAGTGCATTGACGGGCCGCACGACAATCAATGAAGCCTTCGATGGAGCCGCTAGGTCAAGCACCCCGGAACCAAAGAAACGCAAGATGGTGGTTCAAGACCATAGCGAAGACGAAGACCAGACTTTTGACTCTCCAACGAAAAGATTGAAGCTAGGAAAGATGGGGCAAATCAAGTTGGAGCCAACCAATGAAACAGTAGAGCACTACGTGTAATGTTAAGAGTGGCTGATGGTTTCACTACATCACTCTTTAAAACAGATATGTTTCTCGTTGGTTTAGAGACCATGGTACAGTTGATAGGGGCAGGTCAGTGGATTGTAACTAGCTGCGAATAAGGGTTTATGTAACTTATGCTTGAGCTATCAGTTTGGATTTCCAATGTCAAATCAAATTTTGTTCCACGTCTTCCATCTAAAAAAAATATCTAACGTTACTAGGTAGTAAATTAAAAGGAAAGTTAGAATAGAACATAAGTAAGAGTGTGTTGTGAAGGGAAAATTGACAGTGAATATTGTGTTGCTCTCATCTTTTTGTTTTAGGCAAATCTTAACAAGGGTCAAATCTATGAATCTTCTCCACCCCACCAAAAAAAAGGCCTACACCCTGTTTCTCTCTCAATTGCATCTACAAAAACCTCAGTTTGCAGGGTCTGAGACGTTTCAAGTCACAACAGCTCGAACCTCGCCTCGAGACGAATCACGAAAATACCAAAATGGCCGAGAAGACCACTATGAAGATGAAGTGGGATCACGCAACAGAAGCAAAGGTAAATATATTAAATAAACTCTGGGCGAGCCCACTTTTCTATGGAGCTAATATTCTCATACTATTTCTGCTTTTACTCTTTATTACTTACACAAACCGGCTGCTGACATTTGTCTAGCTTTTCAGGCAAATCATCAAAAAAGCAAAACTAGGGAAGAAAGATCACGAAGAACTGGCAAAGGTGATGGGTAAGTTGAGTACCCCTCTTGTCTAAGAGATATTTTAGCGATGCCATGTCAGAAACAGTAGAATTATCAATTGTTACTTTCGCTAAACTGTGGGCAGGATGTACCCCCAGAGCGATCAGGGAACATATTATATGGATGCAGAAGGCCGCTCCGAAGGAGGAATCTGATGACGCTGGATCCCCTAGTCCAGTGAAACGTGCAAAGACTACATCTGAGAAGCGGACGCCGGCGAGCGAGAAGGTTGGAAGCAAAAAGAGAAAGAATACCAGCGACGATGATGAGAATGATCTACTTGATAATTCTCCCCTTAAGAAAGTCAAAGCTGAAGGCTTAGACTAAAATGAAATGTGCATTACAAAGATGACCGAACTTAATGGGGTATTTAACTTCAGGATACACCACTTGTTTTCAGCATTCATGGAGCTGTTGAAAGTGTGGCTTGAAAGTGCGTTGCTCAGACTTGAGCAGACAATGCATTAGTGAGGAAGAAAAGAATGTGCGTGCTGTAACTAGTAGAAGATATTGCGGTAGAACAGTACTATGCAGTTGTATGTATGTTAGCACAATCCAAGACTGATTCTATTTTCAGCTACATTATTAGAAAGGGTTGGGAGGCGAGGGTAACGGTAGTTGTTCACCGGATATTCACGAGAGATGTAGGCTTAGCTTATTTCACCATCTAGAAAGAATATATTATATATTATAGTTTGTTAAAAGCGATCTTTGAAAAGCAGCAGTATAATTCATTTCACTTAAAACATTAACAATCAAAATCACGTCCGGGGGTCAATTAAAAGAGTGTACCAGCTCATCGAGCCTTCCCTTTGGAGGTACCGCGATTAACTTGCAAGTCAAAAGAAGTAGAAAACAGATAGGCTTGGAGCAAAAGAAATTAAGTTAATTGAGAAAGCCAGAGAGCACGGAAACATTTAAGAACCATGTTAAACAGTAAACTACGCAAAGCTTAGAATATCTGGAAGCTGTTATTCAGTAGAATCCCACTGACTAGAGGCTCAACATTTAAAGAATGCTGTTGTGTCAAGCATCCTCTGAGCCAACCTCAAACTTCATGAACATGGATATTGCCGTAGCTATCGTTGATTTCAACCTTTGTAGAGTAGACAAATTCACTGGCACTGCTTTCGTTCTGAGTTTCGTTATCTGTATCCTCACTGTATGTAGTCATGCCAAAAGGCAGAAGCGAGGGAACTCTTGCACGTTTAGATGGGGTGCACATGGTCACGGGCATCGCCATTCCATTAATTGATGAGTCAGAATAGTCGGTATATTCTTGTTTAATGTACTTGGCGTTCGGGGTTGGAGAAACGAAGGCCTCAGTTTTGATAGTCTCTTTGCCGGTCGAGGCATCATCTCCGCGCTTTCGTTTTGCAGACGAACGGTTATGGGAGCTGGGTGTAGCTGGCTTTTGTGGAGTGGAGGTGGGATTTTGCCCGTTGCCGGTCCTGATGCGCGATCTGATTTTGACCAAACGCTCAGTAATCGCACGAGCAGTTGGCTTCGCCTTTGGGTCGTTGCTAGCTATCTAAAATTAGAACGTATAAATAAACCGGAGAGTTTAAGTAAGGGTCTCATACGCCATGCTTCCAATACCTTTGAGGCATTCACGCTTAGTTCATGAGTCTCCAGGATTTTGAGGAGCAGCTGATGTAAAAATGATGTTAGTAGAAGCTGCAAGAATAATTTTTAAAGCAAATTCTGACGGTAAGAACTATTATTACTTACTTGTTGATCCATCTCCGGGGTCCATTTGACTGGCATTTTTTTCCCATCAAAAGAAGTGAAATAGAATGCAAATATTCAAGCAATTTCTAACCGTAGAAGGCCGCTCAATAACGAAGAGAATTTAACGTGAAAAGAGAACCAGGAGATGGGAAGAGGTATATTAATTTAAATACTATGAGATAGAAGGGATATTGCAGCCTCAGTTCTGCGAAGAAAGTAGGGTTGAGAGAAAACATAGAAGTGGAGAGGAGAGAGTGTTAAGAGAGAGTGCGAAGAGAGAGTGAAGACAGAGAGTGAAGACAGACAGTGAAGCCAGAGTGAGGAGTGTTGTTCAAGTTGATAGAAGATTAACTTGAGTGAGCTTAAAGATTGAGAGAGAGTGTAAGTGAATAAAATTTGTTACAACATTGTAAAGTGTAACATTAACTGAGCAGACAATGGAATTCAGTGAGAGGAAGATCAGGGCAGCTTGAAGATTACAAGCTTAACAGAATTCAAAGCGAAATAAAAGATAAAGTCAAATGTCTCATTTTTCAATTCCTGGGTATTTTTGATCAGCGTTCTGGCTCAAGAAGGCTTGGGCTAAACACGAGTGATTTTATCCACACCATGAGGGCGTATCTCTACAGATGACACCATATTCCCAATAATTAGGGTTTGGTTGGAAGTATTGTAACCCAATCATCAATGCCTCAATGGATCCACAAGGCCGCCTTGGCAAAGCTTGCTTCAACCGCATTCCAACCCCGAGCAACACTCTGGCGTTATTCCTTCTACCTCGGTATGCTTTTATTAACTACTACTCGTGCCGCTGCTTACTCACTCACCTCTAGTGAGTGCATCACATTAAAATGATAAAAACACTGAAATGATAAAAATCAAGAATTATATTCTTATTATAGCTCTTTATATTAATAATTAGTAGTTAATTTATAATAAATAAATTATCTACATTATTCTCAGTATGTATATTATCTCTAAATCATTTTATTTTCTTTTTAATTAGTGATAAGTAGACTGACTATGTAACTGTATCTAAGATTAGAATCAGAACATTTAATAATCTTATTATTAATTTAACTAATCTTATTACTAGACTGATTACTAAGATTATAAATTTCATATTTAATCTTATTTAATCTGATTATATACATTTCTTAATGTGAATTTCACTGAGATTAATTATTAAAAAAATATATAAAGTGACTATATATCAGATCTTAAAATAAAATTATAACTTGAAAAAAATAAGAAAGTTATTTTATTTAATCTCATTTAGTCTCATTCTTAATATAAAGTTACTATTTTTAGATATTTTAAGATTTTTTTAGACTATTTTTAATTTTTTAAGAAGTAATACTTTTTAATAATACTTAAATAAGATTTAAAGATATTTAAAGTAATAAAAATAATTTAAATTAAGAAGTGAAAATCATAGTCTTATTTAAAAAATATAATAAGAGTAGATAGTAAGTCTCACTGAGATAGTATAAAACTACTATTTAATGTTAAAACTGTGTAATAAGATTAGTTGAATTAATAATAAAACTATTAAAAATTTTAATTCTAATCTCAGACACAGTTACATAGTTAGTCTACTTATTACACAGTTTTAAGATTATATAGTAGTCTTATACTATTTTAGTGAGACTTACTATCTACTCTTATTACATTTTTTAAATAAGATTATAATTTTCACTTCTCAATTTAAGTTATTTTTATTACTTTAAATAACTTTAAATCTTATTTAAGTGTTATCAAAAAGTGTCACTTTTTAAAAAATTAAAAATAGGAAAAAAAAACCTTAAAATGTCTAAAAATAGTAATCTTATATCAAGAATGAGATTAAATAAGATTAAATAAGATTACTTTCTTATTTTTTCTAAGTTATAATCTTATTTTGAGATTTAATATATAATTACTTTGCATGTTTTTTTAATAATTAGTTTCAGTAGAATTCATATTCAGAAATGTATGAGATCAGATTAAATGAAATTAAATATAAAATTCATAGTTCTAATGGTCAGTCTAGTGATGAGAGTGAGTTATTATTAATTTTAATAAGATTAATTCTCTGTCTCTATCTCTTTCTATTCTACTTTTTTTCTGCTTTATTCTCTCTACATCTTATGATTTTTCTATTTACATTCTTAATAGTGAGAATACTATTTAACTAAATCTACTAGTAACTTATTTTGACTTTGTAATATCTATTTATAATTAAATAGTTCTTTAATTCAGCTGTCTACTGCTTATTAAGTTCTGTATAAGATAGACTAGCTTTGAAAATTCTTTTCAGACAGTCTGTCAAACTAAGTGATTTTAAATTCAGAGTATTTTTAATACTTTAAATAACTTTTTCTACAATATCAATCTGATATTACAGCTTTTAAATTGTCTTTAATAAGAATACTTAAGAAGAGAAGATAGTTATATAAGTTTTATTATCTTCATTATATATTTTAAGTGAAGAAGATAATGAAATTCTCTGCTTAAGAGTATCAAGAATATAATTAGAGTTTTATAAATATATATTACATTCAGCTCATTCTACAGCTATTATATTATATTTAAATATCTGCTTCTAAATATCTAATGAATCTTGTAAAAACTGCTGTTGTAAGAGACTTACACTGAATGAATCAGTATAATATTTATAGATCTTATATAATAAAGTGAAAAACATTAAAGAAGAAAAAGAAAGAGAAAGTGCAAGAATCAGTGATTAAAGTGAATATTTATATGTGTATATAATGTGTACATAATGAAGCTTCAGAGTGAAAGAATAGAAATTTCATGAGTTTTTCAGCTGAGAATCAGTGATTAAGAATGACTAAGAATCAGAGCTTTCAGCAGAATCTATGAAGTGTAAAGAAATAGTTTATATAATGATTAAATGCAGTCTGTTACATTAGTCTCTCTCTTCTCTAATTATATATAGTTCTCATCAGTTAAGAGCTGCAATCTCAGATAATATAAAACTCAGAGTTTAGATCAGATAATTATAGCTGACTTATTTTACAAAATATTATCAGCTATAGCTGCAGAATCTCTTATCAAGAATATCTTCAATCTCTTATTTAAGTTTATTATCTTCTTCTATGATCTCTGACAGCTGTCAGTCAGAAATCAGTTGAGAAGAGAATAAATCAGTGATAGTATAATAAAGCAAGCTTATATAAAAGACATTATAAATCTATGATAATATGTTAAGATAGTAGTTATAACTATCTAAAACTTCTATCACTTTATACTTGATATAGTGATAATTCAGTGTATAAGATAAATATATAATCTGTATATTCTTAAGATTCAATTATATCAAGTCTTCTATCTTATATTACTCAGCAGAATCTCAGTAAATATTGATTTAATTCTCTTAATCTTGTTTTATAGTTATTATAAAAATCTATGCTTAGTCACAGATATCTCAGAGCTTTATTACTATATTATCAGCAATCTGAATTAAACTGCAGAGATTCAGTGTGAAATGTGTGATTTCTAGAAGATTTAATACTTTTATATGATAACTGTGTGTAAGAAAGAACAGGCTTATATCTATTAAGACAGTATCTCAGCTGTTGATAGTAATCTCTGCATGTAGAAGAAGATTATATTAATTATCTTATAAGTAATTACAGAACTTATAAAGATAATTCTTTATAGTCTGAATTATTCATTCTGATATATTATTAGTCTCAGAGTGATAGACAGTTGATAAATAGTATATAATCTTGAGAACTTGACAGATTCTTGTTCAGAGAGTACTTATAAATTAATAATCTCAATTTAATACTATAGATCTCAGCAATTCATATATCTAATAGAATAGATTTCATAGAAAAGCTTCAGTAACTTGTTCAGTATTTATCTTATTACAAGATTTTAATATTATATCTTTACTCAATTAGTTCATAATAATTAGAACATTCTTATAACTCTTACTCTTAGAGATATTAATAGCAAAGTTAATTACTACATCTTATCAGATTCTATTAAAGATATTAAGTGATTTCAGTAGATCTTTTCTACAGTTCTTTCTATCACGCTCCCGGCCGCGTCAAGGCCTCATTGCGGTTTCACACAGCTTATCACTTTCATGCGGATAATTTCGTTCTGTCTGAACCAGTTTTCAATCACTCTATAATATTATTTGAATATATTATAGAAAGATCTGATTAATGAATATAAGAACTCTACTTTTATACAAGGTCAGCAGATTACTCTTTCTTAATAGTAAGACATTGCTGAGATATCACTTCAGCTATTATCACTTATGAAATAAGAGAAGAGTATTTACTCATTATCTATATAGAATAGCTAGATACTGACTTCTTAATAAAGAAATCAGTGATTTATTTTTCTTCTACTGAAATATATACAAGAGTTACTATATTTCTCATATAATCTTCTTAGTATAGTAAGTATTATATCTGTGATATTCTTATAATAACTCTGTAGTCTACAAGCTCACTATATAAGCAAGATAGTTAAGCTCACTTATATAGCTTTTTAAATAACTACTTCTATATAACACTGCTGACTAGTCACTGCTTCAGTTTTATTATATTACAATTTAAATTATTTAATCTGATTATAAGTTTGAATCAGTTAAGCTTTAACAGACTGATATAATCTTATATATCTATACTAAGACTGACTCAATCTCATTCTCTGAGCAACGGACACTTCTGAAGTGCAACCTTCATGGTCTGTCATCAGTGTATCTAGACTTCAACACCAAGTCTCATCCTTGTACTACCTCTCATAATCTGACTCATTCCCGGCAGAATAATACAAAAAGATACCTCAGTAACAGTATTCAATACATAACCAGCGGACAACAAGTCAACAGCACATCAACAACTATAAAATCAGTATATCTCAAGATCTGACTGAGCCTTTGATCTCTGCATAGTGAGATATATTAAATCTAGCTTTAATACCTCAATATTCAATAGATTCTGCAAGAAATTGAGAACAGCAACACTAGGTTTCTATTGAATTTGAGAATTAACTCTATATTAATATAATCATTGACAAAGTCTTCTATTTTAAGATATAAATACCCAGTTCCTCTACATCCCGCTGGTAATATTTATATTATCATATAGAAACAGACTTATATTCTCTATAATATCAAGACTCTGAAGAGAGAAAGTCTTGATAGAGAGTATACAGTAGTGTATATCTTAGCAGTTTCTATCTCATTCTTCTGCAGCAGTTAATGCAAAAAAAAAAGATCTTAGAAATAGTTTTTTACTTCTCTTGAAAAAGTAAGGTGTTTTTCTCTGAGTTTTACACAATATTCTTACAAAGAATAAAAAACAGAGCTGTTTTCTGTCATAATTTCATATTCTTTTAAGTAAGAATTACTTTTTCAGTGGCTGAAGAGCTCTCATTAATACTGAATTCTTTTTTACACTCTTTATTAACTGATTTGAGTTGCACACTTGTTGTGTGAGGAGAATTGAATGATTTAAAATAAAATTGAATAGTTTTAATCTATTTCTCTGCAAAAAATTGATTTATTTTTTGTCAGTTTTTCTCTCAAAAACTGTCATATCATCTGATTCATTATCAATTGATATTATACTCTTC